TATTGTGGATGATGTAGCATCTATTGTCCCTGATGGATTTTCTATGGATGATGTCTTTTCGGACGAGATGCCCAAGCTTCCAGGCATAAATGACATTTTCTGGGACCAGATTCTTTTAGCAAGCCCTCTCACTGGTGATAAGGATGAGATTGGTTCTCTAACATTAGAAGATGGTTTAGCAAAAGAAGAGGATGTTCCAGAAGTTCAAGAGAGTGATTGTGATAAACTGAAGCATATGAGTCATCTTACTTAACCGATGGGACTTCTCGCATCAGGCTCTCATAGTGAATGAAATTGTGAATTTTAGTTGAATCCGGAAAACATCAAAGGTAGAAATTTTGTTTGTTATTCACTATGATGAGCTTATTACTTTCCTGTCCCTTTGACAAACTGTTGCAAACTTCTTACCATTTCTTTTAATTTTGATTTTTACACAACATTTTCTTTTATCCGAAGTTTTTTGTAATTCTAGCTTATGTGAAAAACTTATGCGTGCATAAATCAAGAGAAAATGATAAAATTCTCTCTTATGATTTGGGGGAAGGTCTAAAATGGTCATTTATATATATATACATCCAAGTAGTTTTAGCCTTTCATGTTTACTACCGTTGAGCACTTTTGGTCTCTATTATTATTAGAATACTTGGTGGTGTTAGCTTTGATGCAGTTGACTCGTGAGAGGCATGGTTACCAATTAGCCGTTTAAACTGAAGAGAACCATCAGGATGAACTTCTCCAGATTTATTCCCCCCTATTCATACCTTAAGAAAAATCATTTTCAAGCCAATTAAATACACCATTCGCTTTCTTTGACCCTCAGTTGTATGAATTAGCGAATGGATCAACTTTTTTTTATCTCACTTGTACCATCAGTAACAGCCTTAGTACGTGACTCTGTATGCTGCTAACATAGAGGAAATTCACTTACAGGTTTAGACCAACCCCCAAACATAAGGGACTAGTTTTTTCATTTTCTCCATTAAAAACGAGGAATCTCACTTTCAATGTATAGATCTATGCAACTCTGTATGCTGCTAACAGCCTGCTCGTTGCTTGAAATCTCTTGTTGAGTTAATTCTTATTTTGTAGTGGGAACAGAGATGCTTCATTGATTTTATATCTTAACATTCTGCATTATGTGGGTGGGTGGATGACATCTCGAGGTGGAGTCAGGTTTCAATATTTCTCCAATTCCTTTCAGGACCTTCTATTCTTAGGTCTAGTATGCATGCTTTAATCTTTAAAACATTGTAGTTTTGCTTTGAGCACAACTACTAAAACCTTTGGTATGCTTAGAGAGAGCATAGGGGCTTTTAGTTTCTCATCATGTTTCTGTGGTTTTTGTCAGGTGAATGCGCTGTACTGGTGGACTGACCGCAATGCCTTTCTGGGGGGACTGGTCTTCACCACAGATGAAGTTTTGAGTAGAAAGATATGTCATCTGCCTAATGCATTTTGATTCAAACACTTTGAGTATTTGGATATTCTAGTTACCATGAGGGGGCTGGAAAGGTTGCTAAAAGATTGTCACTGGTGGTATATATAGAAGTTTTTAAACATAATAGAATGACAATGAGGATTTGATTCAGATGTAAGTATAACTTTCAAGAAAATGTGATACTGTTAATTTGCAAAGGTTACTTTAAGCAGATTTCTCCCATCATATAGTCGATTCTCTTTCCAGATATGATGAGCTTAACAGTCATGAACATATTTTCCTTTCCCAGTATCTTATTATCAGATTAATATTTGGTCATTCTGAAAGTCCTAAGTATTTGTGGTCGTTTTTAGTTTGCAGCCATCAGTTTGGTTATATTTCTCTTTGTTGCTTGCTATTTTATGAGAAATAGAGGAAGAACCTTTATTTGCCCATGTGGAAATGTTTCATTTGGGTTATGGTTTGGTGTAAACACCGTGTGGGTAAAGTTTTACCGGATTACCAATATTTGATGGAGATTAATACCCACTCTGGTAGCAGATTAGTCCTCACATACACTCAATTGTGATAGATATCAGTTTTCTCGATTGAATGTGGTCAGAAAGGATCAATCACAATAGCCAATAGGTATTTGGTTTTGCCTGCCTCTGGTTAGACGTTGGTAATATCTTTTCTTGCCTGTTGAATCAATTGATTTTTGCCTTTGTTGGGATCAGGTGGATGCGTGGAGCTCAAGAAATAAATAGTTGTATCCGTTTGGTTATGTAAATTATGTATAGAACCACTAGTCTAGCAAGGACGGAAGAATGTCAGTGAGCTAAGGGAGGACTTGGAGGATAATGCTGGGATGGTATTCTCCTACCAAACTACTTCTTACCGTCTCTGAAGTACTAGAAAAAATGGTAGTACTTAGTAATTTACTTGCTAATGTGATTGTCGAATACCAATTTGTGACTATATTTGGATCATTGAAATGAAGAGCTTTAACGCTATGGTAAGAGTTGCACGGGGATAAGCTCTTGTAGAAATGAAAGGCAAGATTACGTACAGCAGAATGTGGTAGCACACTGAACACAGATAGTTCCCAGTGTCTATAAATTGTTTTACTGTGCATCTGTACCTTGAAGGTCATACTGACATACAAATTATCTACATTAGCAGACTGATGCAGGTAGAACAATCAGAACCCATACACTTGAGAGATGAAAAATCTACAATATCTCAATTTAGTAACTTGGAAGAGAACTCTTTATGCTAGCACCAGTACAATTATTATTAGCAGGATGACCCCAAATATCACCAACAACAAGCAGCTCTGCAAAGAAAATTTGGAAGTATCAATTTTGCGCCAAGCTAAAGGCAATTCGTCAGCTATCATAGGACTAGCTGCAATATAGACTCTTACCATAGATGAATTACATTGTTGGATTTTCGATGCCTTGGTAAGTTGCTTTGCAGCTTGTGCAGTTGCATCATGAGAACTCTCAATATTGGAACTTATATCATCTGGCAGATGGTTTTTTAGGATGTTAGATTCATTAATAAGATTAGTTATAGTTGGAATTTCAGAGGAAGAAAGACAAAGGATCGGATTGGCTAACCGAGCATAATTCCTTGTTCATGGACCAATAGAGCTAAATCCTTGAACATCTCATTCAGTTCACCAATCTGCTGCTGGATTTCTATCATTCCTTGCTCTCTTTCTTCTATGATGGCTTCGTTAAAAACAATCTCATGTTCCAGTTGTACCATGTCCTGTCTGCCATAGAAGTAAGTCAGGGTTCACTGTGAGCAAAAGAACTGGTGGTAGCATAAAGAATTGGGGAAAACAGTAAGAAAATAAGATTACAGCAACTTCCCTTGCCATACTGAGACGTGGGTGCTGAAATAAAGTTTCTTAACATACATTATCAACTAACAAAACCCGAAAATGAGTGTGTACTTAGTTATCTCCTAACCTTTTGGATTCCTCAAGGATAGAACCGCTCTCGGGACTGATAGATGAACTTATCTGAATCTCTGTGCTTCTGCAAAATACAAATGCAAAATATGAAGATAAGATCATATATCCGGGCTAAGAAAGAAAGTGGCAGAAGCATTTGGAGTGGTTAATTACCTGGATGAAATAATTTCCTGGGAGATGAAAGGAGTGTAAGCTGCTTCTCTCTGTGCTGCAAGTTGCTGAGCCTTTTGGAACTTTTTAAGAACAGATTGGAAATCCTTAGCAAGCTTAGCATCGGCGATCTTCTTGGTGACCTGAAGTTTAAAAGAAACATTACTGAGAAGATCCCCATTCTTCTATCTTCACTTTCTTGTTCAAATAATTCATCCACTTACACTAGATTGAGAATGTCGAGTTGATACAATGGCTTTCTTAAGCTTAGCTGAAGTTTCTTTTATCAATTCCCCAATTTGCTGCCTTGTACTGTGGCTGCAGAGAAAAGCAAGAAATTGAAACCTGTTAACACACGCACCACTGTAAAATGCGCTTAATCAAGGAACACAGAATACAAGTCTTTACAGCTTGTGGCGGAGTTGAAGAGTGTCTTTGGGTGTTCCAAGCGTGTTAACTAGTCGTTGGAAGTTTGTCAAAGCTGTGTTTATTTGAAACACACCAACTACTATGGATTGACGATTATCAGAAGCAGATGGATTTGTGATGGCTTGTTTTGTTAGTCGTTCCCATGATCCACTTCCTCCTTGAACATACAATGAGCTTCCTGATTCAAGATCTTCAAAGCTCATTTCTTCTTACTTGAAAACACACAAAAAAGAGAGTAGTTTTTTTTTTTTGTTGGTGTGCTCTAAATGGATTAGAAATCTGTGTCGAGAAGCAACATTGTGTTGGAAATGGGGAGGTTGCTTTCGAATTGAATTTGAAAATACACAAGTTTTTGCAAGAAAAGAGCAGGAGAAGTGGGCGATGTGCCGTGCAAGTGAAAATATTAATACTAGAGAGTACAAAACGACGAAAGAAGGAAGGTGCATTAGCCTTAACGCCTCTGCTATTTCTGTTTTGCTGTTGAGTTTGTCTTCAGTTTTATCATTTACTAATATTACCTCTTCCAAGTGTCATCCAAGTATCCTTTTGCCAAAAATACTTATTTAAACTTACCAAATATGGTATTCCAATAATGTGTACCAATAAATTGTAAGTCAGAATCGACAAAGCTTATGAAACCATAAAACATGCGAAGGTTGAAAATATTGGCCGTTACAATATTTGTGTTAAAAATACAGTGAATTGTGGAGGTCTCCTACAAAATTTTGGAGAAGCTTGCAATCGATAAGTAACCATTTGTAACTATAATAAAAATTTATTTACATCGAATATCTGCACTAAACTAATGAAATTAACCTAAATCGTTAAAAAGTAAAAGAAAAAATATACCACTTAATTATGATTGTATATTTTACCTTTATTGATTTGGTATGAATATAACTTGTGCAGAGAACTAGGAAGCAACTTCTATTCTTTATAAAAAAAAAACAGAATAGAAAGATAAATTAATTAATTTTGTACTTAAAAATAAAATATCTCTCCCTCAATATTCGTTTGGCCTTATTGGAAACAAACATTTGCCAACTTTTGCGTACAACACGTTCTGTTTCTAACTCCTCCATCTTTTACCCCTTTTGGATTCTTCCTCCAATTTTGTTTCCTTCTTTGTTTCGATATCCTCCATATTCTTCTCTGATTAATCTGCTATTTTTTTTTATCTCGATCGATGTCGGTAAGTGAATAGCTCAACATCTCTATTTTTTTTAAATGTAATTTTCTGTTACAAATGCATTTTATAGCTGATGATTTGTTTTCCATTTTGTGACTTATTGTTCTATGAGATTCGATTTCATTTGTAAATCTCTGAAATACATAAACAAAATAATTCTTCTTTATATCCTTTTTGTAATTAGTATATATAGGAAAGGTACGACTTTTAATCTTATGGCAATATGCCCATCAGGTGATAACTGATAATAATATTTAAAGATTGTTTTTTTTTTTTAGTTGATAGTGGAAAAGTTAACAAATAAAGTCATTTACGTAATCGTACGTGAGATTTTCACCTTCCGGGGTGGAAGAATTAAGCCTTTTGTTGCAAAGTCTTGCTGATATTTTTTGGTTGTTTTATTATTATGATAGGTTAAAACAGTGCAAGTGAACAATGTTTCTTTGGGTGCTAAAGAGCAAGATATCAAGGAGTTCTTCTCCTTCTCTGGGGATATTGAATATTTAGAGATGAAAGGGTTAGTTTATAATTATTATTTTTGGATTTTTCAGCATCTAACTTATCTTTACACAACATTTTATATGGTGATAAACAGGGGTAAATGTGCCTATTGAGGATGATTGATGGTTACTTACATGTTTTTTTAATTTTCTTTTATAGTGAGAGTGAGCGATCACAAGTTGCTTATGTAACATTCAAGGATCCTCAGAGTGCAGAGACTGCAGTTCTTCTTTCAGTATGTAAACTTCCCCTTGATCTTGATAGTTAATAAGTTTCTACAATTGCCAGTTTGATTTATTTAATGATGAAAAAACTGCTATATTTATGATAGTTATGTCTATGAGTGTACAGCACAAATTCTATGAAAGGTACAAGACCTTTGTGCTAGTTAAGTTAGCAAGCATCCCTTATCAAAAATGATACGAGCTAGCGCCCCTATTCCTTTTTCTAAATCTTTTTGAATAATAACTTTGTTTCCTCAATGTGGAATATTGTTTTGTGAGGTGATAGAATGGGAATATTGAAGTGTCCCTATAGCAAAATTCTGAGAATAGCATTAAGTAGGTTAGCTCACAGTTTGTGGCTTTGTGCTTTTGTGGTTGTCCTGAATAATTCCATCTATGTGAGATAAATTCAGATTCTCTTTCACATTTATGAGATTGCTAAGTTTTCTAGGTTAAGAAAAAAAGGATACTGCTTATGTTAAGGAACATCAAAGGATCAGCTGCCCTAAGGGGCGACAATTTGCTTCACGTTTGTACTGTATCTCTTGGTTAAACTGGCAATTGTAAGCTTGTGAGACCGTTAACTGGGGAGCTTTAAGAGCTAATCCATCTATTTACTTGGATAAATACTTCACACACCACTGCTGGTTGGTATCTCCTTTTCAATTAGGTTTCTTCACTCGGAGCCTTTTCTTTCTGTAAGAACAATAGAAGTTCCAAAGTGGTCCCATATAAACTACAGTTGATTCAGTTGATCAGAGTCGTCACATAACTTTGGTTGTTCCCAACATAGACAAATGTTAGCATTTTTGGCCAACGGGGTGAGGGAGATAAAGTTTCATTCCTCATTTCATATTAATACAAGGAGCTTACGATAAAGAAATGAACCGTGGGCCTAACTCAATCCCAAAAATTAGTTCATGAGGTGGGCAAATAAGTAAACAAACAACTCATCCCTCAACCCAATGTGGGATTCTTCCGTATGAGGTGAGGATTGCTCAGGACCAAATAAGTAGACAAACAACTCATCCCTCAATCTAACGTGGGGAACTTCTGTATGAGCTTCCAGTTTTCACCTCCTTTAAGTGTTTATCGGTTCGGGTAGCATTCATTGTTGTCTGTATCTTGACTTGGTGAGTTCTGGATTTTCTCTGTCGTTGTTGATGTTTATTTCTTATTAAAAAATTTTTTGTGCATGGCTAGGTTTCAGTTTGTCTTTCTTCGTTTTTTCCTTGGTGTGTAGGGGAGGGTGGAGAGAGATTATATTAGGCAGATGACAAAAGTGCTTAAAGTCTTGAAGCTCCCCATTGCTGCCAGAGAATAGTTCAAAGTAGCTAGCGAAATCATAGAAGCCTAGGTCCCTGTTACGTGTGTGTGGCCTTCTTACTTCATCATGATGGCTTTAATAGAACGATCAACATAACTCTAGGGGAAATTGCAGTGTGAAAAGTCTTATTGACAATTTTTTCTGTGGATACTCTCACTGTTTTAGTATTTAATGTCAGATTGCTCAGATGTTACGGAGAGTAAGGGAACTATCCTATACTTAAAAAGTCAATACTACCATTGTTTCTCTTCTTCAATCCACTTGAAGTCTTGTAACAGAGATACAGATAAAGTGTATTCTAGCATAAGTATTGTTGGTTGTTCACATAGCTTAAGTGCTGCTTGATTACAAGGATGAGCTGTTTCCAATTTGTGACTGTTCCTTTACTGCTCCACTTTTGCGATTGATAAGCTCACTTGGTGTTTTTAGGGAGCTACAATTGTTGATCAGTCCATCTCATTAGTCCTTGCACCCGAGTACAAGCTCCCACCTACAGCTTCAGTATCACCAGTTGTACGTATAACTTAATGTTTTAAGCAGACTTTCCGGCTTCATCCATCACATGATTGTCCATAAATGGTGTACCGTTTATATGTGCAGCCAACTGAAAGCACCAATGCACCCGCTGCTGGATCTGCTATTCAAAAGGCAGAGGATGTCGTCAGCAGCATGTTGGCAAAGGGCTTTATCTTGGGCAAGGATGCAGTTGGCAAAGCCAAGGCACTAGACGAGAGACACAAGATCACATCCACTACCTCAGCCACAGTTGCTTCTTTAGACCAAAAATATGGCCTTAGTGAGAAAATCACTACAGGAGCAACCATTGTGAACCACAAAGTGAAAGAAATGGACCAGAAGTTCCAAGTCTCGGAAAAGTCAAAATCTGCTTTTGCAGCTGCTGAACAGACAGTTAGCAATGCTGGATCCGCCATCATGAAGAACAGATATGCTTTGACAGGGGTAACTTGGGCTGCAGGTGCCTTAAGTCGAGTCACTAAGGCTGCCGGGGAAGTGGGACAAAAGACAAAGGAAAAACTGGCTGAAGAAGAAAGAAGAACTTTTACTAAAGGTCATGCACAAGAAAATACTGCAACTTCAACAAAAGGTAATGTGCAACAACAAGCTGCAGATTCTGCTAAAGGTGATGTCCAAGAACTTGCTGCAGCTTCTGCTAAAGGTGATGTGCAAGAACTTGCTGCAGCTTCTGCAAAAGGTCATGTGCAAGAACTTGCTGCAGCTTCTGCTAAAAGTGATGTGCAAGAAGTTGCAGCAACTTCTGCAAAACAAGAACATCCCGAGTCCCAAACCGGAATTGAGGAATCTACCAATCCCTCTCTTCCACCAAAAGCTTAATCCAACATTATCTTGAAAGTAAATGCACGATTTACGCTAGTTTGTTATTCGAATTTGAGCAGGTCATTGTGTATCAACTAGGGTATTTATACATGGAATCTTATTTCTTATGTATGTTGGGACCTAAAATATGATATAATGAACATCATTCTTGTAGGAAATTTATTTTTTTCTAACAAAAAAAGGGATTTGCAAGAGATGAGATCAATTACTATTTCAATATTGCACTAAATGAAAAATCAGATTACCTCCTTTCAATTCCTTTAATTTTTATGATTAAAAGCTGCATCATCTCCATGTTAAACTCCTTGCATTTAAACTAAAAGTAATGCCTTAGAAATAAAGCATGCAGGATTTCTTTACTTGTCAAATCTCAAAATGTTCTATAGAGGTTCCTTTTATGTTCTTTTTTGCATAAGAATTGATATTGACTTGTAAATTTCAATGATCATATGTTTGCTTGTATAACAGGAAAATTATAAGTACTGTTTAATTCTCTTTTAATTTCGAAATGTGTAATATGTGTGGTTAAGTATTCAGATGAGTCATTCTTTTGATATTACATAGTTTAAATAAAGGGTCAGACAACAATTATTAAACCATAAAATCTTGCGCTTGTTCTGGTTGATGAATATAATTAGAGAATGTGACATATTTTGAGTGATTAACTTATCATGTGTTTAGGTGGTCAATTGGAATAAGTCATTTCTCGAGTGTCTAAATAATATTTATTGACAACTTTAAAAAGTTGTTGATGCATATACTAAGCAGCAAATAACGAGGGAATGAGAACTAGTAAAACAAAAGCAAGTAAACTTTATTTTGTGGGAGCAAAACAATAGCAAATCCGACCTTAGCTCAGTTGGTAGAGCGGAGGACTGTAGTTTGTGTGCTGAAAATCCTTAGGTCGCTGGTTCGAATCCGGCAGGTCGGATACTTTTTTTATTTTCTTTTTTCCCATTCCTACCAAAAGGAAAAATTTAATTTCTTTTTACACTTTTAGCATTAAAGAAAATAAAACATTATTCTTATTATAAAAAAAATATTGAAACTAAAACGTAAAATTACAACACTCTTTGTGCTAGAAAAACAAATATATAGAGCGATCTCTTGGCAGAGTAACCTACCATATATACATGCAGTAGCTATGAGGCTAATAAGTTGTTGGAGCAGAAAGATTGCATGTTTAATCTTAGCTTTCATTTAGCTAAGTGTATCACATATGCTCTTTATTATCCATCATAATAAGATAATCAAATACTCTTCGAAAAAACTTAAATCTAACAGCACATTGACAAACAATAAACCAAACATGGCCAGAAATCATATGATCTTAACATTCCTTCTAAAGTTACTGCTGTCATCTGTCTCTACTGCTACAAACAGTACCTCAGGAATCCGCCAAGCCATTGAGGAGATGAGGACAGCAAATTATTTCACCTTTATAATGCTGATTAACATGGCCCCTGCTGACCTTATACAAGGAAACATCACTTTCTTGATGCCAAGAGACAAGACACTGTCCCAAACATTAATCCAAGAAAACAACGTGGCAGATTTCTTGCAACGACATTCCTTACCATCACCATTGCTTTTCGACCACCTCCAACACTTCCCAACAGGCTCCATGATACCAACTTCAAAACCTGACGTTTTCCTCAAAGTCAACAATTCTGGAAAGATGCATTTCTTTCTCAACAATGCCAGAGTCGTTAGTCAAAATATCTGCACTAAAAGTGCTTCCATCAGATGCCATGGCATTGATCAAGTCCTGGAAGGTGCCACTTTGCCATCTGATCATAATAATGCCAGTCTTCCTGTGCCTCCACCTTGTGATCATAACATTACAAGTCCGCCTTTTGGGCTAGTTGCATCACCTCCTGTAATGTCACCACCATCAGCACCACAGCCAATAAGTAGCAACATTAGTCCGATCCCATCATCAGCTCCACCACTGAAATCTGCAGTATCTTTAAGTAAAACCGGAATAGCTGGGCTTATTTGGTTGCTGATGGCTGTGAAGTTATCTCTTTGATCGAAACTTAGGCTTCAAGTTGAATCAAAGCAAGATAGCAAGCTTGTATATGGAGGCAAAACGGGGATATACTGATATATTACAGAATTTGTATTGCATATGGTACTTCTAGTCTATTTAAACTTTGTTGTTTGTTTTGCCACTTTCTATAGATGGTCCAAAGGTATCTTATGTTTGAACTAGATAAAAGTCCACAAACAACTTTTTGTACTACAAGGGTTTGAAGTATTAATTAACAGTTCTGCATTATTGTGTTAGTTTGAATTTCAGAAACTGTGGAATGACTTTAAGTTACCGGTTGCAAAAGAAAGGATCTGTAGGACCCAAAATATAACACTACCAGTAGTAGTAGTTAACTGAATAATGTAGAGATAGATATGAGACCTCTTTTAGTAAGGGAAATTCTGAGAAAGTGAGTTCGGAATGAGGCTCTCTTCATGCTGAGATAGGGAGAAATGCAACAAATTGCTGGAGACTGGAGCAAACTCCTTGTTATGTGATCATCAACTATTGTATTTGCTAGATTGTAGCTTGAGAAAGGGAAATTGGCATGGAATTGGAAATATGAGTTGGTAAGGCTGGAAATACCAAGTTTTGGTGAAGTAAAGTTTGTGCTAATATCAATAGCAACAGCTTTGTGCTGAGCCAGAAATTAATGTTCCACAATAGAACTTTCATGGTTCTCTCACCCTTTTTTTGATGAAATAAAAAGGATATCATCAACAAAAAGCATCAAGAAGATGCAAGCATTACAAAGAGATTATCAGCTCCCACAAAGGTGAAAAAAACTATCATAACTATCAACATATATCTATTGAGCTGATATATTCTAGGAAAGATTCAACAGTAATTACAGAGGAGTGGTTGACCAACCTAAAACGACTACAAAAAAAAAAAAACCTAAAACGACTAATCACACATCTAGCCTTAAGAGAGGAAATGGGAGTTGAGATGCCATCAAAACACCTTTTGTTCCTCTCTATCCATAAGCAGCACAAAATGCAAAAGCAGGAACCAAAGACCAGATCATTTTGATGGACTTTCCAACTTTTTAGGAGCACCAACACACAAAAGCGTCTCTCAAAGAGACTGGCAAGGCCCAAGTCAGTCCAAAGAGAGAAAAGAACATGTATCGAAGGTCTGTGGCAATAGTGCAATGAATAAACAGGTGATTGATAGATTCTCGGTTGCACAAGCACATGTAGCATCTGTTGGCTATATGGAACTTCCTCCTCATAAGATTATCCTGACCCAGCTGAAAGAGATGATACATCTTAGTTCTCACCCTTCCTCCTCACAGTTTGGGCATTAAACTTTTATCTGCCAAAGGAAAGGAAAAGATTACCTCCAAATTAATAAAACTAAATTAAAATGAAAACAAAATAGAACTTTATGTCAAACGGCCTTTGACATCAGTTGAAAATAGAAAAGAAAGAATAGGTGAAGTTAAAGAAACTAGTGAACCAATCACTACATAAAGAAAATAAGTACAAGATTTATTTGTTCAGATCTTCCAAACATCCCTCACCTAGAATTATTCATTTGGATTTTCAATCTCTTCAAAATTAAGAAATCAGCAAGCAAGCTAACTAATCCTCACCATTAAACACCCAAATTATTTTGAATAGTTCAAAGTAAAAGAACACAAATTTGTCAAATAGATATTTATGCAGTGAAAAGTTATGAAAACAGCTATTGACCATAATAAGATTACGATTCTGAGAAACAAGACCACAGAAAATAAAAATTAAGACATTGTTGAGATCTAAGTTGCGCGGACTCTTCACTTCCAATGCCGTACCAATGTCGGATTCTCCAAAAATACACTATTTTTGGAGAACCCGACACGCACCCGTTGACATGTTTGAAGAGTCCGAGCAACATAGGTTGAGATTACTATGCAAATGTAGCTTGCTTGATAAACATTTGACAGATGCCTAAAAAGTTTGATGTTTAATAGGTTAGACTCTTAAATTTGAAGGAGTACAATACGGTCAGAAAATAGAGGGGGAAAAACGTGGTTCATAAGAAATATCACTTGCCTGAATCTGGAAACTTAAAGAAAGGGCTGAATGCTGATAACACAAATCTAAAAAGAGAAAACAAAACATATGCACCCAAAATAAGTACATTCACAGTTATTCCAAAAAAAAAAGGCTGTACTATCATAGAAAGATCAATTCCATCAACATTTCTATTGGCGAAAATTGAGAAATGAGATATGAGTTTTTATCAAGTAGATATGCAATAAGAAAGCAATTGTAGATACTTGATAGAGGAGCCCTAATGGCTAGGCTTTGGCCACTACTTACAGTCATGTTTGACAGATTCATGTGGAAAATGATATACTCCCTCCGTCCCATTTTATGTGGGACCATTTGACTGGGCACGGTGGTTTAAGAATTAAAGGAAGACTTTTGAAATTTGTGGTCTAAATCAATTCTTAGATATTTGTGAGGTTGAAAATCATTTCATTAAGGGTATTTTGAAGTTAAATTAGTAAGGTGACATTCTTTTTGGGACGTACTAAAAAGGAAAGGGTGCCACATAAAATGGGACGGAGGGAGTACAGAAATCCATTTTTATGAAAGGAAAACAGGCAACAATCCTGCCCTCAACCTTTATAGGTGAAATTTTATTGATCACTTCCATTGGTCTCTTGCATGTTACCTGAGACCAATGGAAGTGATAATTCAAAGTTAGGTAGTAAGGTATACTGGAACCTAAGAATGAAGGAATCCGCTTAAGGGCTCATTCTTCATGGTAAAATATTGTTGTGTCACCTCATATCTTTGGAAGAATGGATGCACATATAGGCTATAGGCACAGATTAATCCAAGTCAAAGATAGAATACAAAAGTATATTAATTGAAAAACAGATAAAAGGAAACATTTCCTTCTAGAAAAGGTTGTCTTAACAGATGCGGTTTGCAGTAACTCTATTTGCATAAGGTTCTAGTCAGAAAATTTATACATATAATAAGGAAATTGAGAGGCATATTAACCTATGTTGCTCGGACTCTTCAAAAATGTCTTCAGGTGAGTGTCGGATATTTCAAAAGTAGTGCATTTGAAGAATCCGACACGGCTGTGGCAACAATTTTGGAGAGACTGAGCAACATAGATATTAACACAGAACATATTTCAGGAAATTTTAAAATAGACTTAACTGTTGAGTCACATCTCATCTCTACCTGATCCAGGCCTTGGAACAGCCCACACGGTCCATTCGGCCCATTCACCGACTTAGGGCTGAAGATATTTATTTGTTTCGCATGTGTTTTCACCAATATACCCTTGATGTATATATATATATATATATATATATTGTGTTATCTGTGAATTTTGGTGGTGGGTTCTCATCTTCTTTACCCTAATACGGCCGTCTTGCTCCCCATTTCTCTCTCTACCTTTCAAAAATCCTTGGTCTCTTTGTAAGATTTCTATTTTTTTGTGTTGAATCTGCAGAGATCTAATGAATCTTTCATTAACTATGGATTCCGATCCTAGTTCTTACATGAATTTCTCCACTAACCTTGCTTGGAACCAAATCAGAAAGCATAGAGATCTGTCGTTCACCTATACGAAAGTGTGCACAAGATGTTCCCTTATTCTCAATCTCAATCGCATCCATCTTCTTTTCCTATAAGTTTTGTCAGTCTACTCTCTGGCGGACATTTTTGATACTAAAAGGGAAATTCAGAAGTCTGAGTAGAAGAAACATTAGACAGATGAGTTAGAGGTAGAAAACTAGAGTTTGATAGGAGTTAGGAGCATGCATGTTTGGAAGGAGAGGAGCCGTTGTATTTGCGAACATTCCTTTTGGAATCCAATAGGAAAATATCTTCGGGAAAAAAAAGCAGTGGTTACTCCATTTGCCTGAAGTTATTTTGTTACTGGATTCCAACAGAATGTTAGCAAATATAGCAGCTCCGTACCACTGCCAAATTCTCCGTGGAAAAACTAAAAGCTCGATCTCTAACCAGACTATGCATCCTGCGAATGAAGCACTGGTAAGCAAGGTAATTCCCTTTTAGGACAACCTGCAACTTGTTCCTACTGATCAGTTTTCACAGATTAGTCTTGTTTTGGGAAGCTGAGAGAGTAAATAAAGGAAGAACATGGGGACTCTAATTCTGCAGATCAACTGGTGAATTTCCCGGTGAATTGCACCTCAAAATTAATGAGATAGTTATTTTTTTTTAAAAAGTAAGGTTGCATACAATAGATCCTTATTTATTTTTTGATGACCGTGGGGTCCTGACCAGCTTTCTCGTGCAAACTGGACTAATTCCACCGGATAACTACCACCTCCCACCTGCAATAGGTACCAAGTAACTCTGTCCACCCCAAAGGCTAGAACATATCGGATGAATCACCTAGTGTTTTTTTGTCTCCACTGAGTTTTGAATCTGAAACCTCAGGGTTCTCAACCACTTCCCCCTTCCCCAGACCCTTGCATAGCTGGAGCTTTAGTGCACCAGAATGCCTTTTAAGTTAGGCCCAGTTCATTTTCTTAACAAGCTCCAGATGTTCAACCCCTTGGGCATGAGTGGGGTGTAAGCATACCATATTGGTTGGGAGTATGGGTTGTAGTTCATTTGGATTAAGACCCAAGATCCATTTTTTTAAAAACATACAATGCCTTAAAATATCTTGAAACTCAATTAAAGTAATACATCCCAACTGGGGGATTGTTGGTTTGATCACACAATCAATAGCTCGATCTTGAGCCTCTCACTACCAGATTATGTCAATCTTGAGCAACAAAAGCTTAGGCTTCTCTCAAGCTTGGGCCTAAAAGGTTAAGCTAGGCTTGACTTATTTGCCTCTATGCGTAACAAGACGTATTGGAATCTTACGTTGGGGTCCTTAAGGATCAAACTTAGGTCTTTAGGCTTTCATGATCTGAGATGGTAAGAGTAGGCTAATGCAACATATGTTTCTACGCTCTAGGCATGCCACACACATAAGGACAAGTTTGGAGGGGAGAAACCCTAATACATGTGT